ATATCATACCAAATAATCATGCCTAATAGAAATTCAAAATTTTCAATCTCATATGTTGCTAAAGAAATAGCTTCACTCTTTATTTTAGGATCCTCACTAGTTTACGCTAATTGATATAAACTATCTCTTATTTGTTGAGCTTGAAATCTAATTGCTTAAACACTTTCAATACGACTTTCCTAACGTGTTTGTGATAATGGCTTAAGTGTCAAATTAGAAACATGATCTTGCAAAATTTTTCATCTTTTTTTAGAAGAAGAAAATAATGAATATATACGTTGTCACTCCAAAAAATATCATAGCACTAGCACATGAATTAGCCATATCACAAAGAACTAAATTAAGATTGTGACGACCACATGATGTATAAAATGCTCTAGAATTTATATCTAATAATGTTTTTTGTACACCTTGATGTTTACCTTTCATATTAGACCCATTATCATATCCTTGCCCTCTCATATCATTTACATCAAGTTCAAGAGTTTTTATTTTACTTGTAAGTTCATTAAAAAGACTTTCACCGGAGGTATCATCCACTTTTTAAAAATCTATAAAATACTCTTTTATTTTTATTGAAATTGTCGAAATATCTACACATCTTAATCTAAGAGACATTTGTTCTTGATGACTTGCATCCGGAGTACAATCAAGTATAATTGAAAAATATTTTGATTCTTTGATTTTTCCGATAATGGTATTTCTTATTTCTAATGCTAAAATATTTATCAACTCATTTTGTATATTATGACCAAGATAATGCATATAAATATCTTCATTTTGAATACGTTTAAGGTGTTCTTGTATTATTGGGTCAAACTCAGCAATCATTTCAATTAAAATAAAAAATTTTCATTATTGTCTCGATAAATCTTCTCATTTGTACCACGAAATGCCAAATTATTTTTTGAAATAGCTTTTACAATAGCAATAATTCTTAATAATACATTCCTCTAATGCTCTTTCTCTTTATTTATTTTCTCTTGTAAATGCTTATCAATTGTTTTGTTTTTAAGTAATCTCATCCGAGCATTAACCCAAATGTTCATATTAATAGCATGTTCATTACTTGTCTCATGACTTTTAAGTTTGACACTAAGATTTTTTCAATCACCACACTCTTCATTTACTAATTGAATATTTGATTTCAAACTAAATAATTTACAACAATAACAAAACACTTTATCTAACTCTTTTGAATATACTAGCCATTTTCTATCATGTTTTTCTCCGTTTGGTAATTTTCAAATGTAATGAACTGTAGAAAAATGTCTAGAGTTTTTATCTCTTGAAAAATCTAAAATTTCTCTAATTGAACCTTTCTCAACTAATAAATCAATCAGTTTTGAGTCTAAATTTTTCCATTGTGCCGAATCGTAAATATTTTTAATTATTATTGCATCTTCATCATTAATATTTTCACTTTTATTGATTGAAACATCATCTTCTAAATTTTCATCATATTCTTCATTACTTTTTGGTGAATTTGAATTGTTATCTTCAAATTTTTCTTCACAATTTTTAACTATATTTTCATTTAAATCTTTATCTTGTTCTTCTAGTATTTGAGGTTTAATATTAGTAACAAATCTATCAAGTGTACCTTTTTGGGATTGAATTAGTTCTTCTACCTTTTTTTTTTTTTTATATATCTAGATTTATACTTTCTAGTAGACATTTTATTCAAATAATAAAATTAAAATATAATTATAAAAAGAATAAGAAACTTTGGCACTTGATTATATTTGCTTGCCACGTCTAATCAAGTAAACCTGGAGAGAATCACTCGAGAAAATAAATAAAAATTTGAAAAAAAAATATTATATGATTTATATGCATAAATTAAAAAATTACCTTCGATTTTTTTGCCAAGCTACTTAGAAAAAGTTTTATAAGAAATTCCTGATTGTTTGGAGAAAGAAAAGAATATAATAAAAAAATTTAGAGATCTAAAAATTATTTCACTCACAAATATTTTTCTGAAACTTTTCTATAAGTAAAAATGGAGGCTGCAACTTTTAATTTATCTCATTCTTCTAGGGTGTAGATTTAGGATAAAATTTTAATTGAGGCCCTCCTTTCTATGGGAGCCCTAGGCATAGGCCTTAATGGCCTATGCCTTGAGTCGGCACTCGAATATATGAAGTGAAGACCATTAATTCTTCTTCTTCTTCTTCTTCTTTTTTTTTTTTTTTTCTTCGGTTCCACTTTAATTTTCTTAGTTTTTCGCTTAATTTTATTGTTATTAATCAAAGAATGTCATCCATGTGCAAGATGGCTGAAGAGTTGAACATTCTTTAATTGTTTTGTTTTCTCGAAAACATTAGTTAAGCCTCTCGGCTTTTGTTGGATCACCAATCTAGAAAAAGAAAAAGCCGATTTCTATATATAAAGGAATAAGTGTTTAATATTTTTTTTATATCCTAAAATAATCTAACTATTTGTTTATTTTTTACATTAAATAAGTTTTCAATTTATATTTTTAATAATTTTGTTGGATAAAAGTATCAAAAAATATAATATGATTTGTACATGTCTAATTTTATTTTAAAAATATCTCTCAAATGAATAGAGATATGCAGACATCAACCCATTGTTATTTTATCTCCCAACAAGCTAGATCGAAATCGGCCCAGTACAAGCACCAAACTCACGATTTTTTTTCTCTTTCCTTTCTTCTTACTCTTCATCCCTTCTTGTTTTACTTCCCTCCCTCAAAACATCTATAGCCAAAATAACCCAAAAAAAACCTATTTTCCTACTTTTTCAACTACTTTCAAAACCTCCATTTTTTACGACTAAAATGTTCATATTTCACCTAAAATCAATCTCTAACCTATCAATCTACACTCCTAAACCTTAAAACCGACATTTTCAGCTTCTATTCATGTTTTTTCCCGCAAAATTCAAGTCTTAACCAGCCGATCACTATCAAACTCATCACTTTCCTCCATTTTTCTTCTATTTTCCGCCAACCATTATTTCAAATACCTTTTAATTATCAAAATCCAAGTTTAACATTGGAAATCTACAACTTTTTATCTAGAAATTTACTGAAATCCCAAATATTCATCATCCATTCATTTGATGGGCTTTTTTTTAAAGAAAAATAATTAGGTGCAAATAGCATGACACTTTATGATGGTTTTAGAAAAAAAAAAAAAATTATCAGAATGATAGATTAAAAATATGTTAAAAAACATATTTGGTTTATTTTAGAATATAAAAATAGATTGAACACAAATTTTTATTATTATTATTATTATTATTATTATTTTTTTTGGGGGATAATTACAAGCATTTCTAAGATAGATTTGGGCTCTCTCAATCGAGCCCAACTTACAATTAGCAAACTTTATGCAATTCATATTTAAAATAGGAAGATCACAACTTGTAAGTTAATTTGATGAAATAAAGTTGGCTACATTAGTCTCATATACAGTTTGTGCTTTATCCATATTTTGATAAATGCCTATGTTGATTGCAGATTCCCAATGCAATGTCGAGGATCCTTGGTTGCTTGTTGCTGTTTCCATATATTTGACATATTGCCATTTTTTACATGCATATTTCGCATAACTGCTAGGGCATCAATTGGGTTGTCATTAACTTCCAGTATCGTAATTTAGAATCAGTCAATTGATCATTCTCTCTCTTATATATGCCTTGTAAAATAAGTTAGAGGTAGGGTGCAAGTATATAGATTTTTTCCAACACAATTGGGCTCAAAGAGATCGTTCAACTACATAGGCGTTTATAAATTAAATTGATGGCGACAGATGCACATGCACAACCTATTTTGCTGAAGATTAAGATTACGTAAGTGTATATATATGCACATGCTATATGCAGTAATATTAAAGTATGTGTGAAGATTTTTCAGAACACGTCGGTGATATGTCAATAGATTAATCAAAATATTAAGAATTAATATTGTAATTTATAAAACAATAATATCTTAATGAAGTAAAATAAAATGTAAGTAGTGAGAGATATAAAAATAATAACAACATTAATGCTATTATTCAAAGCACAATCAGGTGGCAAGTGGGCAGTAGATAGCTGGATAAATAAAATCCAAGTGCATGGAGGTTTGAAAGTTGTGTGATGTAAAATTAAGAGAGTTTTGTTTAGTAAAAAATGAATAAAAGTTGGAATCTTTTGCAATAATGTAAAATTGATATTTATAAAGAAACAAGAATGATTCTTGATCTATAGAATCACATAACGTTATTTATGTTTGGACTATAAAATTTGAGTCAAACTAAAAAAAATTAACCTAAAAGAAAAACGATTAATTTAGATTAAATTATTTTAACTTACCAGTAAATGTTAAAAAAATAATAATTATTAAGCTTTATTTTAATTGGTTGTGCTTCGAGTCCACCAAATTAATTTTTCAAATGCATTTTAAATACAAGATATAAAGACTTAGAGTGTGTTTGATAGCCTATTTAAGTAGCTTAAAAAATTAAGTTATAATAATTAATATAAAAAGTTTGTTTGATAATCTAAATAATTTCATATTTAAAATTTAAATTCACTTAAAATCTACTTAATTAAGTAAGTTCAAGTTTTCAACTTAAAACATTTTTATTAATATGCTCAGTTAAATTTTTTTTTTAAATATAATTATATAGTCCTTATAACTCTAACTATACAAATCGAATGATAAACGATTTATACCATCTCTATTACCCATTAGAGAAATGGAACCTTGAAAAAGTAATGAAATGGAAGCAACATTAGAGATCTATATGTTCGTCCTTGGTTCTGACTTCTGAAATGTTTGTTAGCAGATTCTCATCATGTACCTCAATTTTTAACCAAAGCCAAAGAACCTATACTTTATTTTCAGAATTTGTTGCTCAAATTGATGTTGACAACCTAATTATGTGCAGCTTGCAATATGCACGACTTTCACCATCTATTTGTCTCCATTTTTGTCACAAACCCAGGAAATTATAAAAAAAGGTATTAGTGGGGTGTGGACCTCTTAAATGCTGGGATTGGGATGTTGGAAGCCAATCTTGGACTCTTTCAAGGTAAAACTTGAGTCAGAGAATGAACCAGTTTTCCTATCAATGGGACCTCTCCTTGGACTGAATTCCATGACTGAATCATTTCACCTTCTCTGCCTTGTTCCAGCATTGTTTCTTCACGCTGTAAGTGAAACTCCTTGGTTCATCAAAGAGTCCAAGAATATTAGTGAATGGGTATCGTTGTTCACTCACCAATTCAAGGTTATCGACAACAGAGACGGAGGAGCTGAGGGTGGATTTGCGTGACTTTCGTGGAGATGGGCTGATCTAGAGGGTCTGGATGGCGAAGAGAGGCCGGTGCATGATATTACAATTATTAAACGGTGTTTAATATATATATATATATATATATATATATATATATATATATATACCTTAATATATTCAACAACAGTATTTATTAAATAATTTTATTATATTCAATGCTTAATTTTCAATAAATACCAAACAGTTTGTCGATAATATATTCAATACTTAATTATTCAGCACTTAAAATTCAATACTTAAATTTTAATTATATTAAACACTATCTTAATTACATTAGCTATGTCACAATACTCACATACATTTTTGCATATTTTAAACCCTAATCTCATTTATTTATTGTGTTGTTTATGATAATCCTCAATGAAAAAAATTATAAATTGTTATGAAACAATGAATGTCCATCATCATGTTCATCCACTTTTCATATCCTTACTACTCATGATTCTTAATTTGATTCAATTCATCATTCAATATGAGAAATTGAAAGAGTGATGCAATTGATTATTCATAGTCCCTTCTAATTCTCTCCGCAATTTTGAAGCCTATAAATATGTTTGATTATTCATTAGTTGGTGTACAAGTTTCCTGAGAGAATAAGAGAAACTTTGAAGTTCTTATCACTTATATTCACATTATAGTGATTTCATTTTCTTGTCATCCTTTTTTTCAATTCTCCTAGTATTTCTATTTATTTTATAACATAAATTAATTAGTACATAATTAATTAAGCTACATAGTTAATTTTTTTATGGACAAATCCACCACATAAAAAGGGATTCAAATTTTGAGAGGATTTAGTAGATCATGTAACAGCATGGGGCAGGATCCTTGCCACTATCTAGCAAATGCCTTCTGTTTAATTCATCGAATTTATCCAACTTTGTTATGACAGAGGACGGCCTTAATGGAGATGATTAAGCCGGTGAGGTTTCTTCACCAAAAAAAAAAAAAAAGAGAGAGAGATTAATTATTAATATTCAAAGAGTAATTCTGCAATTTACAAATGAAATTGACTTTCTTCCTTTAATGAATAACAAATGAAATTAATTAAGGGGAACTACTTGAATTAACTAATTAAAGAAGAAACAATGTCATAACCACATACCATAGAAAGCTACTTAATTACCACAACCCCTGCCCATGCTACTTGGCTCATCTTAACTATAATAACCTGACTAAATTCAAGATCAGATACATGAGACTTCTCCCAAAAAAAAAAAAAGAACAAACCGTCTTGCTAAAGGTCATTAATCTTCTTTTCCCAGCCCTGCTATACATCATTTTGTAAATTCCCAAGTGATTGTATACGTTATATAGAGAGAAATGGACCCAAAGGCAATGAATTTTAATAAATTTTTCTTTACGGAAGCCGTTAGTTGAATTTGCAGAATTGTTGGTTATATTCATGGATTTTAGCTCTGTGCATAGAGACACATAACTTTACCACGGGAACCAAGAATCAGGAGGTTCAAACTTGGGCCCAGTGGTCTGACATTGAACAGTGTTTGGGTTGGATTACTTAAGAAATGAAACAAAAATAGGATTGGTGTTGGCCCAACAGGCAAGTCTACCTGTAAGTATATTGAGAGCCACGAATAAATGTAAAATCATGTTAATTACGTGAGATGCATGGCAAATTCGTTCTTCTTTACAATTCCCTGCTCGACAGTTACGCAATTGAAGTGAGGATCGTAGGGAAAAGGAGAAGGAATCCATCTTCGATGGAAAAGGAAATTTTCAAAATAATTATCTTCAATTATTTGTTTAGATGGTAAGCCATTTTATATGTCACATCATCGGTCTAAGTTTGAATTCAAGAAAAGAAAAAATTGGAATATTTTAACATTTTTTTACGTATAAGAATAAATAGTTCAATCTATTTTTACATAATAATTTAAGTTTCTATTGTTATCAGTAAATTTTTAATTATATTTATTATATTTTTAAATAATATTTAAATTTTGAAACTTTCATTCTAATCAATTTTTTCGATCATAGATACATTTATTTTTATCAACCCTTGTAAGGAAAAAAAAAACTAAAAACATCAAAAATAAAACATACAAATCATATGTTTTTAAAGTTTTTTTTTTTTTCAATCAGGAATATTTCAATAAAAAAATTTCTCTATGTTCAGAAAAATTTATTGGAACACAATGGACACTAAAACAATATTTAGAGAAATAATAGATATAATTAAAAATATAAAAATATATTAGAGACTTGGATTATTATATAAAGACATATTAACCTACTTACTTATATATAATAGATATAATTAAAAATATAAAAATATATTAGAGACTTGGATTATTATATAAAGACATATTAACCTACTTACTTATATATAATTATAGATATTATAAGTATTTTATTTTAAATGGTTATAATATTCTCATTTGAGCTTCACTTTTGGTCCACAATAAATCGTTGAAAAACGCTAAATATATAGTTTCTAACGAAAATACAAGATATCACTCAAAACTTCAAAAATAATTTAAAATGCATGTAAATATTGAATCTATCAAATTTTATTGATATTTTTTAAAAATAATATTTTTCTTATAGAATCACAATAGTTTTTAAAAATACATATATAGTTTTTTCAAATACTAACTCTTTAACCATAAAATTCTCACAACTTTCAAGACTATTTTTTTAAGATATAAGTTTATCATTGCACTCTAATTAAAGAATTGTCACTCGTTGATAAGGTTCAAAATAATTTTGTCAGAAAACGACAATTGATTTTAATTTATAGATTCAGAAGTGGAATGAAACCTAAATCGACCTTATGATAAATGTTTAGTGTTTTTTTGACTCCTTTAACTTGCAATTTAACTTTCAAACTTGTTTTGTATGGTTGCTTCTTAATATTTTAAAAAAACAGAGTCATTTTAACGATAAAATCTTTTGAGTACCCAATGGCACTTGTATAAATAATTGTTTGGTGGGCCCTCATAAAAATTTTAACTCGAAGGGGAGAGGAAATTGAATGCATTGAAATAACTTTTTTTTGCCCGTAAGCAGCTGAAAGTTTTTCCATGATGGTATCAGAAGCTACCCACTGCAGGCCTGGGCCATGCCGACAGAATAATGACTTATCGTTATTCAGAGAGATGGCCTTAGCAAGCCCGCGCCCCTTGTTGATGACGTATCAATAGTTGTTGTTGTTGTTGTTTTTTTTTTTTTTTTAATGTTGGAAAAAACTCCAATGCTTTGGAAGTACAACCACCCAATATTAACAAAAACATCTAAAAGAGATGAAGAAAATAAATAGTAATTACTAGTTATTCTTTCACAGATCACTATTTATTTATTATTTTTTTAGGTGGCAATTTTGATAATTTTATAGTGGTATTTTTCATGATTTTTTTTTAACTAATTTTGAGCATTCATATGTAAATTTTATATTATATTTTATTTTAGTCTTTAATGTTTCTAAAATATTTTTGATCTCTTGTCTTTAAACATATTTTTGGCAACCTCATGTTTTCACTTTGTTCCATTTTTGTCCTTTATTAGTGCAAAAGATATTTTTGCGTTTTCAAAAGATATTTTTAACCTTTCATATATATAAGAATTTATTATTGTTGTTGTTTAAAATTGATCTCTTCAATTTGACATTTCTTATGAAAATTCTCATTAAATTATTTTTTTTATTTTTCTGTTATATGTAATCTTATTTGCTAATAAATATGATTTATTTTTCTCTATGTACAAATTTTCAAATAAGTTTTTAAAATAAATTATCAATTAAATAATATAATTTGTTTTATTTGCTTATTTTTTTTATAATTAATCAAATTCTATTGGAATAAATTTTGTATTTGTTTTTATTGTACTTTGTTAACTTCAATATATTCCTTACAAATTAAGTTCTTTTTTAAAATATTTTTCTATTTATATTACGTATTCTAACCCCTTTGAGCATGGTCATTATATATATATATATATATATATATATATATATATATATATATATATATTGAGACCATTGGTTTTGTTAAAAAATAATTATACGTCTACATACATAAACCCAACCATTTACTTTTTTTTTTAATATTATAAAATTATTTTTTTCGTATAAAAAAATTGAAATAATGTTTTAGAAGAACCACCTAATAATTCAAATATTTTTTTATACTAATATTATTGATTTTTTTGTAAATAAATATAATAAATTAAATGTATATACTTTTAAAAAGTTAAAAAATTGTTAGTTAATTTCTATACAAGTTTTATATTATTTATTTATTTATTTGATGTAATCTTGTGAAAAAAAATATTAAATTATTTTTTAAAATTTTATGTTATATTTTCTATTTATTATTGGAGATTTTTATTCAAAAATGAATATAAAATGAAGAATGAATCATATTTTTTTAACAACAAAATTTATTAAAAAAACATAAAAAGAATAAATGAAATAGAAAATTTTGATTAAAATTATTAAATTAGTTAAAATTTTATTCTTTATTTTTAATTTAATATACTTTAGTTGACCAATCGTATAATGTAGGCTATCAAACTAAAATAAACATATGTAGTTCTACCTACTTGCGTAGTGTGGAAAGCCGACTAGTTTCATCTATTTAAATTAACTTAAATGTATTAATTAATAATTACATTATAATTAATATGATTTAAGAAATTTAGAGAATTAATATCAATATATAAAAATAAAAATCATATCAATTTAATATGTAATTCTCAATTAAAATATATAGCTTATTTTAAGTGGATTGAATATGGAGTGTTTACAATTTCTGACGTAATGGAGTTTTTTTTTTTTTTTTTTTTTTTTTTTTGTTAATGTTAATGTGATTGGCTAGGAAAAAAAAACTAAACCTTGATGAAGAAATTACAATACAAAGTTGTTCTTTAAGGAAAAAAAAAAAAAAACACCCTTTTTCTGCAAAACTCCAGTATGTTCAAATATATATTACAATACACATTTTGACAGATTAAGCAAAAGA